CAACTCATCACAATTTGAAATCTTCCGTTTTTCCTCAGTATCTTTTGTTAACTTATATTTAATTGTTATAATAATGTACAATAAAAAATGTAAAATGTAATGTAAATAATGTACAAGTAATTTGTTTGTTAATTGTTAAATTAATGTATTATTTATACACACAACCCGTACGAAGGACGGGTACACAGCTAGTATTTACATAATAATTTCCCTCTCAAATATGGTTGTATGTATATCTTTATGGAAATGTTAATATGATTACGTCTTGGCAATGTACACACTGTAAAATGTTTCCAGATAGCTCTGGTTCGTATAAAATTTATTGATACATAAAGCATAATTTATTGTAAAGTAAACGGAATGATAATTTATTCTGTATTATTTTTGAAGTGGAACAGCATTTAGACATTTATAATTATTTAATGGATAAATAGCACTATTATAGGAATGAATATGAGAAATTTGAAGGTTTTGGTTTCGATTTTGATTATACACGTATTGACTTTAACACACACTGAATAAAAGTCTGTTATTACGCGTCTGTAATTAATTCTTCAACATTTATATATTAGTGGACACTTGATAAGTTAATCACTTCTATATAGCACGCATATGTATTTGCTTTTTTACAAGATTTGTGAAGTTATTACTGCTGCTTCTTGTTCCAAAAATAAAAGATATATTTGAGTTCATTTCATTCACTGTCTCTGCGTATGAATACTATCATATGTGATAACTTTCCTGTTTATTTTATTTCTATTGTCAAATGAGTTTCGTGTTAACTGGTATTTGGCTGTGTAGTGTTATAGATATCAGCCGAAATTTAAGATAGTTATTTTCTGGTGTGCAGTACGAACGCAGTAGGTATGTTTGAGCTTATTATTGTTGTATTCTTATTTTAGAAATTGAATTACAATAAGAATTTCTCAGGAAATCCAAAATTGGGAACTTTTTTGCAGTATATGTCGTTTTATAATTAATTTAGGTATTCGCTGAATTATATGAGGTTTCCAGTAAAATACCGCCACTTCCATCACTGAAATTAATATGAACATTTAAGTCCAATTATTTGTCGGAGTTTCCAGTTGTGCTCCCCAAATCGAGCTAAGCTTTTTCGCATAATTTGAAATAATGAACAAGAAAACTCATTAAATATTTGTTTAACAGTTTTGAACTCTTAAGTGACTACGTATTCTTTATTCTTCAAATTAACTGTATTATAATTGATAATGGAGCTGGACGTGGCGTAATGATAAGCGTGCCCAGACTGTGAATCCGCAAAATTAATGGTTCACAGCTTGTCACCAAAACATTTTTTGGGGCCACAACAGCGCCATCACAGTAACGATCAAATCACACTATTCGATCAGATAAGAATTGGGTGTGTGTTCTGTGACTAGGCACCTTCCCTCTAGTTTATCAGTTCAAAATTAGAAACAGTTATACGTAAATATCCCTTGTGTAGCTTTGCGCGATATTCTGAAAAACTGTTGTCTGTGAACTGCTAAAAGACGAGTTTCGATTCCCGCGGTGGACAAAACACAGATAGCTCCTTTGTGTAGTTTTTTTTGCCTATCAACAAAACAAACAAACATACTATGTATTATTGATAACACTTTAGAGAAGAAATATCTTATCTGAGGAAATATAACAGAACGTTTAGTATAATATTTGGTTTCTAAACAATACCGAGCTGACGGTATACTTGCATGTAGACTTTCAAAAATTGCGAGTGCGTCATGGTAATATGAAAATACGAAAATTACTGAAGTAACTACCCTGATGAATGTTGCTTTGCTGAAATATTGTAATAACTTCTATCTCCTCAATCTTTTTTACTTTATTTATTCTTTCTTTTATGTGTTTTCTGATACTTTAACTTAGGTATAATTTGGACATCGAAGTTTGTGGGTAAGTTAAAAATCACTATATGGAAATTGACTCTTCACAGTGGTAAAGTGATAGGGTACATTGCTTCTAACGCTAACATTCGGGGTTCGATCCCTGTGACAGACATAGCTTAGCTAGCTCATTGTCTAGCTTTGCATTAAAATAAACAAATTATCTTAGAGGTAATCAAGACATTGAAATGATTAACAGTTTAAACTGCAGATTCGCAGTATAGAGCAATTAGAGTGAAAAATATTATCGGCAGGATGTTATGTTTTAGTTTGTAATGAGTCTTCGAACTTGATAAAACATAATTATGTTAATTAAATATTCCAACCATTTATTAACAGTAACATGGCAGCCAAAGGACTTTTTTTGAAGTATTATCCACATCCTAGTCCTTTGCGAAACAAGCGCTTCTTCCCGTCTTTCATCGGTCTACCTCATGATGAAGAGGTGGATGAAGATTACTTTGTAATCAACCCACTTCTAATGTCAGTCTATCCAAAGATTCACTGGTGCTTCCTAGGCGAGATAACTCATCTAGAATTCTTCATTCGCCCTCGAGCCTATTGCAAAGACAGAGTCGAAAGAGGAAACATTCACGTGGCATTTCACCCAGAAAGTGGAAGTTTTGATTTCAACGATTTGAAAGTTGGTCGTGTCCTGTGTATCCGTTATGCGGAGAGTCACACATTTCTCGATTTATCTTATGGTATTCGCGTCGAACACCTAGATTTTGTTATGGTCATCAAAGGTAGTTTTTCAACCCTAATTAAAATATCCGACTTCGATCCTCAGCGGAAGACTTCTCAATGTTGGGCCTGTACAGGTCAAAATGAATTAAAATCATGCAAAGGATGTAAAGTTGCCAAGTATTGTAGTAAAGAATGCCAAGCTTTGGATTGGCTATCAAGACACAAAACATGGTGCCCTGCCCTCCCTGGATATCAGAAACTGTTAGATATCGACTACACCCAATATGAATATCCTTTCCACAAAACGTTTTCAAGAAATTAACATTTTTTTCCTTTGAACATTACAACTATATCTATATATTCTACAAAGTATGATCTATCAGCGTTGAAACATATATCACGTGGACCGTGAAGATCCGACTGGACCGAAAAATAGAAAGTGAAGGTTTAGAAAAATTGTAAAGAATTAGGAAACATATGTTTGACAGTTTATTTTCGTATTAATGTTTAATGCCCTACTTTATTACGTTATTTAACTACAAAAGATGTGTAAGTTACATATTTAAAAAATATTATGATGTTTGCCTAGTTTCAGTTTTGTTTTATATTACATAACAATACTGAGCTGTATTTAAACGTTTACGTATTTAGATATACTGTTGATTCTTACTCTCGAGAATCTTCTACAAGTTTGGAGAATAGGCGGGAGTTTCGCAATACATATCTAACACTACAAGCTATGCATGTTTTTAAATACAAACTTAATCTAAACAACGTCGATGCTAAAATAAATATATAATGAATTCGTTACAATATGAAAACTATAAGTCTTTTTTTTTTCTTTTAGTTTAACTGTTACTTATCTGAATTGTCGTAATAAATAACAAAGAAGTGTTTCATGTATTTGTCGTTAATCACAACTGTGTTTCACTAATCATATTATTTTGTATACCAATAGGTAATACAATTGCAAATGTTTATAATGTGAGGCCCCCCAATGGCACGGCGATATGTCTGGAGACCCACAATTCTAGAAACCGGGTTTTGATGCCCGTGGTGGGCAGAGCACTGGCAACCCATTGTGTAACTTCGTGCATAACTACAAACATAATGTTGGAAGTTAAACGTTGCCTATTTGTATAGTTAGATTATGATATAAGTATCGAGCAAATTTGTTTGTGTAAAAACAGTTGTAGTAATTAAACACAAATGTTGATATTCTAATCACACTGAAAATAATAAGTTTTTATTTTGGAGTATTTGCATTTTGCTAATTTAAAACGAGCGCAACTCTTGTTAGAGGACCGTAAAGTTGTGAACATTAATTATATAAACATAATTTTTACTTCCACTTATCAAATAAAATTTTATGTTCACAAAAGTGTTACAAATAATTTAACACTTAATAATGTAATGGTTTTTATCAGGAGATCCTCAAAAAGCCTTTAAAATCGACGTAATTTTAAACTGTACCAAAAAAGACAATTTTGAAAATGGACTGTATATAATGCATATTTCTATTTAATCAATGAGAGGTATTGAAAATAAAATACTCTGAAATGAAACATCGCATGCGTAAAATCTACCTGTTATTTTATTATTATTTTCATAGATTATTAGGTTCAAATTGCAATAACTGTGTAATAAAAACTGTAATTCGTCATCCTTAAAACCTAATGCAACAGTACACAAATCCCGAGTAACGATCTTTTTCATGAAGTTAAGAACTTTGTTTTTTTTTAAATTTGTAAAATCACCTGGCGATTAAAGTCAGCCTTTTTATAATAGGCTAATTTTCATTCATGTTATTTTTATGACGTTCATGATCCATTGGAAATGTGGCGGATTTATAGAATGTACAGTTTGCCCAATTTCAAGTCTATAGGGCTTACAATTATAGTTTGATAATGTTAATCCTACACAATTTTAATGATAAAATTGACCATAGTTATTCAGATTTAGCAGTTATAAAAGTATTTTCTAGTCATTGTTTTCTAGGTAAGAACCCAATAGTTTTTTGTTTATTTGTTTACATAAAAAACATCCATCATACTTTGCATTCTGGAAATATTCCATTCCCTTGTAACAGTTGCACAGATATAGAGTATGTAGCTAGAAATCTTGTCAAATAGTTTTTTTTTTCGGTTGATTCAAGAATGCATGACTGTCCAAAAGTATATTATAAGACAGACTGTTAACAATATATAGTGAGCATTTGCAACATCTATGCTAACACTCGTTTCCATTGGATTAACTCCGAGATAACAACCCTGTTTACTGCAAATGGTGAATGAAGAATGTGCTATATATATATGTATAGCTTAACTTTCTTTTCTTGACCTGACATAAATACTTAGTATATATATATATAGAAACATGTATATGATAATATTATGTTGTCTTTCAAAATAGGACCTTGTAAAGTATATCAAATACTTAACGCTGCGAGTTAAAATGACTTATTTTGAAAATACATTATTAATATTTAACACCCATGCGTATTTTGAAAAGTTAGTATGATACGTTGTATATTTTAAATGTATTTTAAAAGATGCTACCCATTGGCTCAGCGGTAAACATGCGGTTTTACAACGCTAAAATTCAGGTTTCGATATCTACGTTGGCAGAACTCAGATAGCCTATTGTGTAGCTTTATGCTTAAGAAACAAACTATTTTAGTAGGTGACATCATTTATAAAAAAATGTTCAAGTTGTACATAATAAAAACATTATATCATATGCCCCCAGTGGCACAGCGGTATGTCTGCGAACTTATACCGCTAGAAACCGAGTTTCGATACCTGTGGTGAACAGAGCACAGATAGCCAATTTTGTAACTTTGTGCTTAACTACAAACGAACAAAAATCATATCAGAAAAAACTAAGCTCCTGAAACACGGATATTAGATGTTTTAAAATAATGATGTATTTTACTTCGTTTCAGAATTTTCGCGAAATGCTACACAAAGAACTCTCTGCGCATATCCGTCCCTTATTTTGAGTTAACACAAGAGAGAGAGAGAAAGTAGCCTTACTTTGGGCTACTATTGTGAGACTGAATTGTATAACAGGATTTATGGATCACCCTTATAATGACACACCGCCGCCGAAGTGCGAAACGCGTTTCGTGGCAACGTACCACGAGCCTTCAGATTCATAGTCTGAGCACGCTAACAACTGGGCCACGCCCGGCCCTACATTTTAGAAATACATAAATGAATTACGCGAGGTACACGATCGTTGTTCAATAGCTCTTAAGAAACTATTGGAAATTCACCCCAAAAAAATAAATGATAAACTAATACATAGGACTGGATTCGAGCATATATATATATGTGTGTGTGTATACTATTTCTAATTAAATAATTTTGTCATAGTTTTGGGGCAGATTCACATTACATTCTTGGTAAATAATGAGTTCTAGCCTAGCTTTTTGATGTTTTGTTTGTAATTAAGCACAGATTACACAATGGGCTATCTGTGCTCTACCCATCAAGGGTATCGAAATCCGGTTTCTAGCGTTGTGAGTCCGCAGACATACCGCTGTGCTACTGGGGGGCAACTTTTTGATGCTGTTAACATTTTGGTAAAACGACCTCTTCCGTTCAATATTTCAATTGTTTTCTCCAAATTCAAAAGTACTTAGATAATTCATCTACTCAGTACTTAATCGGTACGCCTAACTTGTATTCTTTACTAAACAAACAATTTCGAATTCTTCGACTTGAAGACGCTTGTCTTCAGTATCTGTATTTTGAATCTGCATGAACTAAACTACCGGATCTCGGACCTCTATGGTTTAGATATAACAGTTACTCGTTTTGAACTACTGACCATAGAGAAGACAACCAGTCAACAGCACCATTTGCTACAAAGATTTTGTCTGGGATTTGAGCCGCCTGACCGTAATGAATGTCACTCCTACAATGTACTATATCTGAAGGGCATCGTGTCACAAACCTTGGACCGTCTATACCGCTGAACATCAAGATAACTTGTAGACTAGACCTAACCAGACCCTTCTCCTAAAGATATAAAAGACTTTAATTTGTATTGCGTAATCTAATTGTTTACGAAGTTGGGACAAACACTTCAGTATTTTCTATGAAATTATTTGTTTGGTTAGGGAGAAGAACAAAAGAACTAAACGGCTTTTATTCGAAACTAGGTTTATCTGGGCTTCTCAGTGTTCCAAGAGAATGATATAATACATAAATGAAGTAATATGAGTTACGTATTACAATTTCGAAAGGTCTGAAACTGAGTTAACTGATACTTTAAATTTCGTAGTTAAATTGTACTTTGGATTTAGCAGTTAAGTAAAAGCTGATATATAGTCAGTTTATGACACTTGCCAGCAAGATTGATACACACAGTTTTCTTTTTTTAATACAAATATGTTTTAATATACAAACAACAATACAATTTACAATAACAATTATTACAAATAGTTAATACAACCAATAATTTATATACAAAAGTTTTACAAACTTACAAGCAGTATAAAGTCTTCTTTCTAGTCAGGAACTTCCTTGGTGTCTTATCGAGGGTTCACGATGAGCTAATTAATTTCGAGTTGATGTAGGTACAATTCACTTCATAGATAGCTAGCTAGCCTTGTAGTTCTCGCTGATCACACGCCGATATTTTTCATACCGGTGACGTTAGGTAATGTTTTAGTAAAAGTACTAATGTCCGATGAAAATACACTGAAGTTAAATGATTTTTAATGTTCAAACTTTGTAAATGCTCCTGGTCAAATGTCTGAAGTTTTGCTATTGATAAGCGTTATGACCATCACAGTTATAGCTTCCGAAATTTATAGCGAACTAATAATATATACTCCTTTTTTGGCGCGTTGCGTTGGTTATATTTATAGGCGTATGGAGAGTTTCTAGAAAATCCAGATTACATAACAATACAAAGCTACACTGGCGTTTACGTACATACATATATTGTTGATTCTTACACTCGACAATCTTCTACAATTTTAGAGAATAGGCGGGAGTTTCGCAATACATATTTAACTGTATAAGTTATATACACTTGTAAATATAAGCAATTTAATTCAAGCAAACATAGATATTAAAATAAGTATATAATAATAGATCCGTCACAACTCCCTCCTTAGAGAATTAAAAATTGGTGTTAGAGAATTTTTAACTAAGATATTATATATATATAAACATTGACAGCAATACATTAAATATAATACCTTATCCAAAGGATTACAAAACTTCAATAGACATGACGGTACATAACACAATCAATACAAATAACCTTATGATCATAAAATTACATAGCACGTGAAAGTGAATCAGCACAAATATTATCAACCCCTTTGACATGGATTATCTCCAAATGATACTCTTGTAATGATAAACTGCAATTTAACAGTCGTATGTTTTGTTTTTCCTTTCTCTCTTTCCTTCTTTTTTTTTTTTTTT